AAGGCGCCTGAATGTGGCGACGTCCAGGGCAGCGGCGGACACAGCATGGGCACCTCCGCGGCCTCGAAGGTCATGGTGCGCTCAGCTGCCGTTGCAAGCAGCTGTATGAAGGCCGGGTGTGGCTTCAAGATCCCGATCTGGGGACAGGGTGGGTGGACTCCGGTCAGGGGGTCGACATCCCCAAAGGCGGCAGCAGGCAGAGGGCCCCAAGATCCTATCAGATGCTCTGATCCTGAGACCAGGCCGTGACCTCAAAAGGACTTCGACCCCATCTTGACCCAGGGGTCCTGTGCCATCCAGAGCCCCGAGCCTCATCTCAGGCCCCCACCCTCTGGGCGCCCCCTGTCCCTGGAGGTGGAGGAGGGGTCTCTAGATTAGAAGCACGTTCCAGCGGGCCCACCTGGCGGAAGCTGCGGAAGGAGTACACGTGGTAGAGCACGGGGATGAGTTTGCAGGAGCCCTGGCGCTCTGCCAGGTGGCCGGGCATCCGCACTGTCTGCACCAGCACCTCCGCCAGCTGCTTGCCCAGCTGCGCCACCACAGGCAAGGGCCAGGGCTGCTCGTGGGGGGCTTCTGGAGCCCCCAGTGCCTCCCAGTGCTGCCGCGGCAGGCAGGACGCTGCCACCTGTGGGAAGTAGTGCAGGTCAGGGGACTAGGGACCTGGGAGCAGAGCTGTACACCCCCAGCTGCCCCTGCGGGTGGAATGCTGCAGATGAGGAAACTGAGGCTGGGGGGCAGCCAATAAAATGCCAGGACCTGGTGGTAAATCCCACTGCCCCAGGAAGGAGAAGTAGGAACGTGACCCACGCTGAAGGCCGCGGTTTCCCATCTTGAAACCCACCTGGGCTCCCCAGCCCTGAGGAACCCCCAGGTCCCAGGCCCGTGAGCAGCTCCTGATCCCATGCCCTCCGGGCCTCACCTGGGTGTCAGAGGCCAGCAGGTGCAGGTACTTGAAGTAGCGCCGCTCCAGCTCCCGCACCTCCTGGGTGAGCCGCTTCCTCTGCACCACGTGCCGGTTGAAAACGCGCAGGCCCAGCTGCTGCGCCAGGAACAGGAGCGACTCTCCCTGCGGGGGCAGCGCCTGCAGGGTCTGAGGGCGGTGCCACCGTGAGCCCCGGGCCCCGCCCTGGCC